CACTCAGGGCCCAGAGCACGGGGCTGGGGGCACAGCCGTGAGCCCTGTTTTCTTGGAAGCGGCCCATCCGCCTCATTTAGCTTGTTAATGGCCGCAGGGATGCTCATGAAGCAGATGTTGCTCCTGCAGATTAAGAAGCTCTCAGCACGGCCACCCTCGCTATGGCTAATGCCTTCCCAGAAGTCCTGCTCCCGCCTGCGATCCTGCAGGATGCAAACAGGCCCTAATGAGCTGGGCTGCGGGGCTGGCGTCAGCCGGGGGCAGCTCGGACCCAGACCAAGCCCCCGGGACTGGGGATGGAGGAGCTGGGTGGGGGAACAATCTGCCAGCAGCTCTGGACATAGGCATACAGGTGGATGGGTGCTCAGCACCCATCGGGGCTTTGGGAATGGGACTGGGAAGAGGGGGAGCTGCCGAACCTGCCTCTAAGCCAAGATGAGTCTTCATCCAAGGCATGCGGGATGTGGCCAGGAGCAGGGGCTCGTGCTCCACTGGGGACATGCGGGTGGGGCCTCATTGGTCATGCAGGGTCTGGGAGCAGAGCCTGGGCCATCAGCCTCCCTTGTCACAGCCCTCTGAACCCCTCTCATGTCTTACTCCTGCCATGACCCCCCGCAGGGTCCCCTGCATCTGGGGATTCAAAGGGAAAAGTGATTCCTTCCTGGCTTCTGGCACTGGGATTTCCAGCAAACTGCTCTCAGAGCTGCTGCTGTGAGTACAGGAGGGGACTGTGGAGGCTTCCACCAACTCCACTTCTGGTTCCCCTCCACTAGCGAAGGGCCTGTATGTGTTGCGGTCAGGTCCTTCTCCTGACAGGGTGCTGCACCTGCACTGTAGGTCTGTATCCTTCTACACAGCTGCCTGTTGTACATGTGCCAAAGCAGCTTTGAAGTGCTCAGATGAAAAAGGGAGAACAGACACGAGGTGCATTGGGATGCATGTACCCCAACAGCCTGGCCAGTGAGAGGCTGCAGAGATGCCACCTCCACCAGTGCCTCTCCTGTGACTGAGGCTGCAGCTCCCTTTGGGGTTTGGAGCGGCCCTTGAAGGTGTCTACACTGAGAAGCTCAAGGGGCCACATACAGTGGCTGTGAAAGACAGTGTTGGCACTGGGGAGAACTGAGTGGCTGGTTGCTTCCTTCCTTCCCATGAAGTCAAGCTCAGGATGCCCAAGGGAGCTCCTCTGGAGAGTGCCTGGCTCTGAGGAGCTATGGCTTTTCCAAAGGATGCCTGAACAAGAGATGCAGTTAGCACAGGTGGCAGCTTGAAGAATCTGCAGTGGCCAGGAGCTGGAGGACTTATGCAGGCCCTGGACCATGGCAGATGCCTGCCAGGAGCTGTGGGCACCATTCACTCTGAAAACCAGCAGAGAGCTTGTCATGTCTTTGGCGAGGAGCCTGTAGCCATGGAAAGTATGTAACCAGGAACCAGATGTCCTCAGGCTGCAGCCTCAGTGCTGGCATGGCTGGAAAGGGAATTTGGCTGGAAGGACGGTGCTTATCACTCCCAGAAACCTGCGATTTTGGGGGCAATGGGGATCTGTTCCTCCCTGCAGCCATGTGGGGCACAGGGCCAGAGTCTTTCCTCCCTCCCTCCCTCCTGCGCATCACCCCACGGCTGCCTCGGCATCCACACAAAGCCGGGTTTCAGAGAAGCCCACCTACCCGGTGGTTAGCAGCGTCATGTGGCTGCAGCACTTAATTAATAAGAAGCTGATATAAACTCCAGTAAGCATGTGGGGAGGAGGACATTGAGACAGAGAGCAGCAGCGGCGCACCCAGCGAGCTCAGAGGAGCAGCAAGCAGCAAGCCCCCTCTCTGCTTGGGGAGGTCAGTGCTTACCACGGGAAGTGGCTGGGATGGGGCTGGAGGCATGCAGGATGCAATATCCCTGACTGTGGTTTCTCCTGGCAAAAGGCTGGATGGTTTTGTGGGATGGGGAGGTGAGGAGTGGCTGGTGCAGGTCTGGGTTGCTGGAGTCAAGGCTGGAGCCCCAGTGCTGCCAAAGCAGGAGGTGTTGGATTCCATGGGGATCCCAATCCAGGCCCATGAGCAGGGAAGGGGAAGCAAACCCTGGGGTGGTCCAGCAGGGGACATCTCCTGGAAATGGTGTCCTATTCCCAGGCAGAAGGAGTTTTGCATCTAAACACTTCTCAACCAGAAGCCATGCAGCTGAGTAACTGGGTGGCACGGAGGGGCTGGAGCTCCTGTGAGGGTCTTGGCCACAACTCGCCTGCTGTGTCAGCCTCCGCATTATGCTTTATCTTGCCAAAGCCCTGTGTTTGTTTATGGTGCCCAAACCCCGTGGTTTGTTTGCAAAAGGAGCTGTAGCAAAAGTTTGTCTTTCAGGGGGAATACTTGCTGTTCCAGCCACAATGTACAGGACTCTCATGTTTCAACCACATGCTGTAACCCATGCCCTGTGCTCCTTCCTGCCATGCTGCAAGCCAGCCCATAAGGCTGGGAGCAGAAACACGCCTGTCTGGGCTTTAAAATGAGGGTAATTTCCACACTCCATGAGCATAAGCACTGGGCAGGAGGCATGTTGGATGTTTTGGCCACATCCCGTGCACATGCAGGCAGTGAAAGCATGGCACCACAATAGCCTGTGGCTGCTGAAGGCTGCTGAACTCTCTGGGGCAGGGAGACCCTGAACTGCTGTAAAAGAATCGTGGAATCTTAGGGTTTGGATTGGAAGGGAGTTTAAAGCTCATCCAGTTCCACCCCACTGCCAGAGGCAGGGACACCTTCCACTAGACCAGGTTGCTCCAAGCCCCGTCTACGCTGGCCTTGAACACTGCCAGGGATGGGGCAGCCACAGCTTCTCTGGGCAACCTGTGCCAGGGCCTCAGCACCCTCACAGGGTGTGTGGTGGCCCAGGAAAGGCTCTCCAGCCCCCAAGAGCAAGCGGTGTGCCAGGTGTTGGCAGGGGCTGCTCGGGGGTGATGGTCATGGGGTGGCAGTGAGGGCCAAACAGGGCTGCTTGCAGGTGGACTGACGCTGGCCAGGACCTGTCTGTGCAGGTTGCCCCTGAGGACCATGCTGAACGTGCTGCTGCTGTGCTGTGGGCTGCTGCAGGGCGTTGTTCTCAGCACCAACATGGGCTGTGTGCTGCCGGGGCAGGCGAGCGGCAGGCTGGAGGGCACAGACAGAGCCCACTACTCCAGCCTGTTGCGGAGAGTCAAGGAGCTGTCCGCGGAGCCGGCGGGTGAGTCCTGTGCGGCCCCACTCTCCCAGTTTCCCCCCTCCCCAGGCCACTTGCTGG